TACCAGCAGCACCAACAGCACCAACAGCAGCACCCGCACCATTCGCTACCAGAGATCTCCCAATTCACCGTTGTTGCCCACGCTGCTTCACTATGCGCGTCACTTCATCCCTTCTCCCGTCAGCTCTCCTGGACATTGTTTCTGGATGGGCTGGTGGGGATACTTTGTGGTCAACAGGCTCGCGAGGCGGGTCGAAAGCCGTCCGAGCACTAGTCGGGCCGCGACTTGGCAGCAGGAAGAGAAAGGCAAGCGAAGCGAGCGAGCGGGCAGCCACTCAGAAGGAGAGCCAGAACCGATACTCCCAAACCCGGTGGCGGTGGCTGGTGGGGAGATTTCTTGGTCAACAGGCTCGCGAGGCGGGTCGAAATCCGTCCGAGCACTAGTCGGGCCGCGACTAGGCAACAGGAAGAGAAAGGCAAGCGAAGCGAGCGAGCGGGCAGCCACTCAGAAGGAGAGCCGGAACCGATACTCCCAAACCCGGTGGCGTTGGAAATCCCGGTGGCGACCAGCAGGTAAGCGCAGCCAAGATGGCGCGGCGGCGCGACCATAAACACGCAGAGGTCGATCGTTCGGTGTGAGTCAGGCAAACAGCATCCAAAGCTGGTGGGGATACTGTTTTGTCGCAACCGCAGGCGAGGGCGCCAGCGGCGAGTAAGGTCCGACCGGGCCGCGCAAGAGCCTAATTGCCTAACGCCGACGGGCCGGCGACATCAGCAGCGCCTCGGCGGGCGGGCCGGCGTGCGGGGGGGTGCGGGCTGCAGCTGCCAGGGACCAGGTCCAGGAGCGCGCACATGCACGATTAACCAACCAGGGTTGGAGCGCAGCCAACATGGCGCGGGGTTGGTACCAGGATGTGGCCAGGAAGGCAACCAACAGTGCACTGCTTCAGCTGCCGGGAGATCATACTGGCCTGGTGGGGATACTTTTTTGGGGGGTCAGCGGCCACCAGACAAGGGTCAGGCGGCAAAGGCAACGTCCGGGCCACGAACGAGGCTAATTAGCTACAACAGGCACAGGCAGGCCGGCCCGCTCACAAAACAGCCGCGAAGCTGCTGGTGGGGAGACGCGAGCCGTCAAGAATTTCTATGCGGATCCAGCCATGGCGACTACGAGCATGTGAAAGGCCCAAGAAGGATGAAACACATACCAACAATGATCGATCCCCTTTTTTTCCCCCCTCCTCCACAACTCCGCTCGGAACGGTCTCCTTCGGCGCGGTTTTTAGTCCTGGGCCGACCTCCGACGGCCCCCGGGGACCCGCAGTGCGCCCTCCCTGCTCCCCGCCCCTCGGAGGCCGAGCTCGGGGATGAGGACCTCTGCCGCGATTTTGCTGTTGCCTCGTCCCTCGAGCTTCCTGCTTCTCTGGTAGCAATTCATGGGGGCCTTGCATGTCCTCCTGACTCCAGCTTCAGAGTGCAGGCGTGTGCGCCAGCGTCTGGCAGTCGATGAGGAAGCGCCACTTCAGCGTCGATGAGCGTCGATTTGGCGCCGATGAGCGCCGATTCGCGTCGATGAGCGTCGGTCAGCGTCGATTCGCCAGAGCCAGCAAATGGCATGGAAGATCCCAGGAGTTGCCACCGAACGCTTCCCCCCCCCAGCCCGTGCAGGCTCGGCGCGAGCCTCGAGCTGCGCGCCGCCCTGGGGAGGCTGCTCGCGCACGCAGCCGCGCACGACGCCCGGCGGGCGATGCTCGCGGCGCTGCGGTGGTGGAGTTGGCAGATCGCCTGGACCTTCGCGGCCTCCCCCAGTATCGTTTTACGGATCCCCATTCCCATCCCCATCCCGAGCCCCAGCACCCACCCCCCGAGCGTTCCAGAACGCACTCAAAGCGTTCTGGAATGCTCTGAGCAGGCCGCTGCGCCCGAGAGACATCCTCCTGAGCCGCCAGATCTCAGAGATTCGATTTTTCCTCACCCGATTTTATCCTCGTCCTGGCTTCGTCTTACAAGATCGACGCCGACGTTTCGGCGTTCAGTCTCGGTCATGTTCCTTGTTTTCTTTCCCATCCCCCCTCGAGCCTCGCATCGGAGGAGGGCCAGTTACACAGATCCACCTCGTTCCTCCCCTCCCTCCCCTCTGGGAGGGGAGAGAACGCTATCGTACGAGGAGGGCGGAGAGACGGTGACGGGGGTGCATCTCTCTCTTTCTCTCTCTCTCTCTCTCTATATATACATATGCTCGCTCCGACCGAGCCTCGATCCTCGAATCTGGCTCCTCGAACCTCGATCCTCGCACCCTCGCTGCCTCGCCGCCGCAGCCAACGACGAGTGTCGGCGGTTACGTCGGCGTCGGCGTTAGCGTAGACTCTCCCCGCCTCTCTAAATAGCTCGGCCCTCGGTCCTCGACCATGGAGGGGGAGTCGTCGTCTTCGTCGTCTTCGTCGTCGTCTTCGTCGTCGGCTTCATTGTCGTCGTCGTCGTCTTCGTCGTCGTCTTCGTCGTCGTCGTCTTCGTCATATTCGGCTCCGTCTTTGCATTCATGTCCTTGCTCGGGCCTTGGGAGGTGTTCTTTCCTGGGCTTCAGGTTCCCCAGAAGCCTCAGAGGACTTGCTCATCCGCTTGTCACTCCCTCGTTCTCTTGATCTCTTCCTGTCCTTCCCCCTTCGCATCTCCTCCTCCTCCTCCCATTCTTCCCCTCTTCCTGTCGTCTCCCCGTCTTCTCCTTCGGGGAACAGCAGATGCCATCGTCATGAGCTTTCGGATGTCCGCGCGGGCCTCCGAACGCTTCTGTTCGTGCCATTGCCTGCTCCTCCGACGAAGGCATCTATACACCACCACCGTGCCAGGCCAGGGCCATCCTGGGCCCCAGGATGGTGTATAGACCCTCCCGGCTCGGCCAGGAGGGCGTATACGCCATCCCCGGGCCCAGGATGGCCCTGGCCCGGCACGGTGGGAGGCGGGTATTTGTTGTATTGATGACTTCTGCGTATGCTCTCCATTCCCTGCGCGATACCTGATCTGCGCACGAAGGAGAAAAAAAAAGGACTCACACGCCCCCGGTGAGCGTGGCTCTCTCTCTCTCTCTCTCTCTCTCTCTCTCTCTCTTCCCTCGCGGCTCCTCTGTAGCCTCCCGCCCCCCGCCCAGGGCACCTCCTCCTCACTCCCACACTCCGTGTTTGTTTGGTGTCAAGCCTCTTGCTCCGGCGGCGCCCCGCCGCTGCTCGACCGCCGCATTGACTCTCTCGCGGCCGCTGGCCTCCTTCCTGCTCCCTCCCTCCTTCCCTCTCCCTCCCCCTCCTCCTCCCTCCTCCTCCTCCTCCCTCCTCCTTCCCTCCTCCTCCCTCCTCCCCTCCTCCTCCTCCTCCTCCTCCTCCTCCTCCTCCTCCTCCTCCTCCTCCTCCTCCTCCTCCTCCTCCTCCTCCTCCTCGGGGTCGTCGTCTCGCCTCCGCTGGCCCCCCCTGCCCCTGTCGGGGCCGCACGGGGCGCGCTCTGCGGAGCTCCCGCCCCCCCGCGCGCCTGGAGCGCCCGCCCGCGCCTCGCCTCCCGCGGCGGCGGGGTCCGCTCCCTGGAGGCCCCCAGGGGGGGGCTTCCCCTGGGGCGCCGCGTGATCGGGGGGGCGATCTACACTTAGGCGATGCTTAAGAAAACCCAAGTTTTCGTCCAGAGTCTCGATTATTCTTAATTTTTGAATGTAAATCCCAAGATTTTGATAGAAGTTCTGGGTTTTAGTCAAGTTCTGAGACGATGAATTTCTTAACCCATGATTTCTTAAGCATTTCGCAGGGTGTACCAGAGGAGGCAAGAGGTACGCCGCTACCACCCCTTCCTGTAGGCCTCCCTGGAGGCCCTCGCCGACACGGCTGGATTCGCCTCGCAGTTTTGGTCAGAACGCACCGGGGGAGGGGTCCAGGGAGCAGTGGTAACGGTACATTTTTGGGGTTTCCCCATTGAGTGGAGGGCGGTGAAGAATGATGTGTCCTAAAGTGGGCCTCCGAGGGGCCCCTCTAGGGCCCAAAGTGGGCACGAGAGGTGCACGTTTCTTCGCCCACACAGGTATCTCCCCCAAGTGGGTGCAAGAGCTGCAGCATCGTCAGAAGAAATCATAGAGGATGCTCTGCGGCGAGCCCAGAAGGGACGTCAGAGGGGGCGGGCCTTTTCAGAAGGCTCGGGGTGCCTCTGGCCTTCCGGAGACATGTTCTAGGCCTTGTCCGAAGACACTGGCGGTTTCTCGGAAGGCGCGAGCGAGAGCTTCTGAGAAGCCCCTCGCCGCCTTGCCAGAAGGCCGGCCCCCTCTCACTCCCCGCCTGGCCTCACCGTCGAGCAGCGCCGTGAGACATCACGGGGGATTGGTGGGAATCTGAAAAAGCGGTTGCGATCGGTCCGATCACCGACGGCCGATCATGAGATCAATTAAACAAATTTACTTGAGCTCGAACGTGGCCATGATCCGTATCCGGTTTCTATGTGATTCGTATACGATTGAAGCCGAAAAAGAGCAACAATGCCTGGTGTGAAACGGATTGCACCTCAGGAGGGGGGGAGGAGAAGGAGGAGGAGGAGGAGGAAGAGGACGAAGAGGAGGAGGAGGAGGAGGAGGAGGAGGAGGAGGAGGAGGAGGCGGAGGAGGAGGAGGAAGGAGGGAGGAGACGGAGGAAGGGCAGGAGCAGGAGGAGCAGGAGCAGGATTGAGGAGGAGGAGGAGGAGGAGGAGGAGGAGGAGGAGGGGGAGGAAAAGGAGGAGGACTTAGGACAGGATGGCAAGGCGGACAGAGGTGGCGGCCGAGACCCCCAACATCATGACTATTCCGGAACGTCGACCCCCACAGGTCTGGACGAGTGACCCTACGGTAGGTTTGCGCGGCGTCGGCATTCGCAAGGCCTTTGGCACCGCGTCGATCGTTCAACCTTGAATCGATCGCGGCCCCGATCGTTCAAGGTTGAATTTCGTCGGGTGCAGTGGCCCCACCGTTTCCCTCGGCGCTTCCGCGTCGCAGAATGCAACCTTGAACGCCTTTGCCAACGCCGCCGGCGTGCCAACGCCGCATGAACATACAGTAGACCAACATTGCATACTTAGTCACTTTTGGACGGCCCCTGGGCCTGGGAGCCACAGGACCTGTGGGACCTGTGGGGCCTGCGGGGCAGGCGGGAACGGTGGGATCCTTGGGACTTGTGCAATCTGTGGGAACTGTGGACTTGTGCGACCTGTGGAACGCGCGGGGCCTTGGAAAGCTTTGGAGTCTTTTGCTACCACGATTAGAACCCTCTAGCGCAAAGCAACCAGGAACACAAACATCTCAGGATGCAAATACTTCTCAGACCGAAGTAGTTCCTGAACAGTCCGAAGTGGTCGTGATCGGTCTTATTCCCGGGCCGCGAGCCTCTGAAAGGCTTCAGAAAAGCCTCTGAAAGGCTTCAGAGAAGCCTTTGAAAAAGGCTGCAGAGAAGCCTCTGAAAGGCTTCAGAGAAGCCTCTGAAAGGCCTCGCTGAGGCGTCTCAGAAGCCTCGCTAAGGCCTCTCAGAGGCCTCGCTGAAAGCTCTGCAGAAGCTCAGCAGAACCTCTTGGATCGGTCGCAGTCCGGTGTTCTCCAGAAAGGTTGTTCGTGTCATCCTCGAGGTTGCGATCAGCCCGTTCCCAACGGTTGCAGTCCGACCGAAGTAGTTCCTGAACAGCCCGAAGTGGTTGTGATCGGTCGTATTCAGGAGGAGAAAAAACACACAGACACAATTAATCGGCGATTCCCCAGAAAATATGGGAAAATATGGGAAGTGGGGGGAAGACAGAAACCCAGAAAATATGGGAAAATATGGGGAATATTTTTATTTGTGTGTATTTATTTGTGTGTTTGTGGGCCCCTTCACGTATTCCCGGGCCCACCCCACGAAGCCGGCGGGCCGCCTCAGCCCCCCCGGGGCCTCCCGCGCCCGCGAGGACGGGCGCCAACCTGGAGGCGTGCTTGCGGCTGGTGTGGGAGCGCCGGCAGGCCCCCTTCCGAGGAGAGGAGGTCGAAGCCGCCGCCGCCGCCGTCGTCGTCTTCGTCCTCCTCCTCCTCGCTCCGTCTCTATCCTCTATCTGCCTCCTTTTTTTTCCTTCCTCGTTCTCCCTCCACTTCCTCCTCCCTCCTCCCTCCTCCCTCCTCCCTCCTCCCTCCTCCCTCCTCCTCCTCCTCCTCCTCCTCCTCCTCCTCCTCCTCCTCCTCCTCCTCCTCCTCCTCCTCCTCCTCCTCCTCCTCCCCCTCTTCCTCCTCCTCCTCCTCCTCCTCCTCCTCCTCTTCCCCTGCTGGGTACCGTATCCTGGTGCTCGGCCCTACGCCGAGGGGACATTGACGATGCCATGTGCGCTTCACGGCTTGGCGTCAGCATGCTGGCTCGTCTTCGTTGGGTCCCGCCCCGCACCACCTTCCCCGGGGCCGTGGCACTCAGCTACGCCCGTGGCGCTGGAGCCACCTTGAGCTGTCAGGCGCGGGGATCATGCAATTGGTGAAGTGGCGAGGCCGTGTGGTCCGTAAGTCCCATGGAGCCTTCGTGCCTACTCCCCCTGGGGTACCAGCCCAGTTGCACATGCCATATATTTTGTCAGGGGTTGATAGTCGGGAAGGACTTCAGAATGAGGAGGTGAACGGATCGTCTTTTTACGCACCACCGTCATTACGTATCAGTAGCGAGTCACGGGGCGAAAAGGCGCTGACCTGTACCACGACCGTGTTGCGTGAGTTAGTTCGTGGCCGATGAGCGAGCGGCCTCCCCTGCACATGAGGAGGAAGGTCTCCCCGTGGGGGGGGTGGAGGGCGGCCCGTTGTGCGATGAGGCAGCATTCTCGTGTGAGGCAGTCATCTCGCGCGGGTTCGCTTCTCTGTTCTCCATGGTTCCACGATTCCTCCGCCTCCTCCTCCTCTTCCTCCTCTTCTCTTTGTCCTCCTCCTCCTCTTCTTCTTCTTCCTCTTCCTCTCCCCCTCTTCCTCCTCCTCCTCCTCCTCTTCCCGAATCGTGTCTTCATCCCCCCAATCAGAGGGGGGTTGCCAGACGGCCTTGCTTCGTCCAGGTGCGCGCGTTGGGGTGGCGAGCGTCCCTCGTCCGGGACCACGCGAGGGGCCACGTTGTGGGACCATGCGGGGGGGCCATGCGGGGGGCCCATACGGAGGTTCATCTGGGGGCCACATTGTTGAACCGTGGTGGGAAACCATGCTGGGGAGCATATGGGCGGACCATGCGAGCGGACCATACCCGGAGACCATATGAGGGGACCGCGCGGGGGCTACGCGGGGACCACACGAGGGGACCATGCTCACGCGGGGGGACCATGCGGCGGGACCACTCGGGGGCACCTTTCGGCGGGCTGCATCTTAGTTGACTTCGAGCGTCGCAAACTGCCGACGACATCCCCCGCCCCTTCACTCGCATCCGCGACTGCGTGGGCTATGTATTTCTCCTCCTCCTTTTCCTCCCCCCTGCTCCTCCTCCTCCGCCTCTTCCCTGCCCCTTCTCACCTTTTTTTTTCTCTCCTCCTTTTAATCCTCCTCCTCCTACCCCTCCTTCGCTATCTGATATTTTTCCTCTGTATCCTGCTCTTTCTCAGCATCCTCCTTGTTCTCCTCTCTTCTTTTTGCGTTTTTCTCGCCTTCTCATTTTTCTTCCTTTTTCTTCCAATTATTGTTATCCTCCTTCTTCTCCTTGTTTTTCCCACATTCCTAGTCGTGCTTGCACTTCGGGGTTCCTGCTTCTGATCTGATGAGCTGGGCCTGGGTTGCGGCTTGGTGGCTCTGTGCTCGCCGTCGCCGCCCCGTCGCCGCCTCGTCGTCACCCGTCGTCTGGGCCTGGATGGCCGTCTGGCGGCTCCGTGCTCGCCGTCGCCGCCCCGTCTCTGCCTCGTCGTCACCCGTCGTCTGGGCCTGGGTGGCGGTCTGGCGGCTCCGCGCTCGCTGCCGCCGCCCCGCCGCTGCCCCGTCGCCCCGCCGCCGCCCAGAATGTACTGCAGCGGTTCTCGTCTCTTCTGGGAAGTTGGATGTTGCCCCCCCACCACCCCCGCGTGGCTATCACCTCGGCCTCGCGTGTTGCAGTGTACATATGATCCTGCCTCCTTGCTCATCTCCTTCGTGAGCTCATACCATCCCAGCCGAGCCAGTATTCCGCCCCCTGCCATCCTCGCGCGCACTCGTTCATCGAAGCTCACCAGTTTTCAGGATCCCTTGGCAACGGAGAAAGGACGCGCGCATGCCGACATCCGTCCAAAAACGTCGGTATCATAGGTTTTCAAAATCGAGTGTCCCAAAAACATACAAACACACGGTTTCGCAACGCGGGTTTTCAACACATTTTCGCGCGCGTTCTTGAGAATTGCGAAAATAACCATCGTTTTGTTTTTGTTTGTTTGAATTTTTACTTTCTAACATGCTTCCACATGAGTTTCGCGCGCATGTCGAAATCGTTGGAGCGCCCTTGCGCGCTTGCTGTCGCGAGAATCGATTTTGCAAGAATGGGACGAAGTGTGCGCGCGCGTCGTCACGCACGCATGCCGGTTCGGTAGCGACTCAGAACGGACGGTCCAAACACACATATACAAACACATGGTTTCGCAACGTCAGATTTCAAAGAAGAGTGCGCTCGCGCTCTTGCGATCTCTTGAGAAAGCCATAGGTTGTTCAACATTTGTATTGAATTCTGCTGAACTGCGCGCGTGTTGAGGGGGCACGATCCGTGTCAAATAATTCAATGCCTGCCACTTGCGCGTCGGCCGCGCGCGCGTGTCGAATTCTTTCCAATACATTCACCACAGACGCGAGGACGCCGTCATCGTCGTCGGCGCGATCAGCATTTGCGCCGTCACTGGCCGCGCCGTAGTCGTTGCCAACATCATCACCAGCATTGCTACTATTATCATCGCGTCTACCGTTGTCGACGTTGCCGTCGCGCCCGCCCAAGTTGCCGACTCGCATTGAAGTGCAAGTGCCCGTTGGGATGTGCCTAGCGGTCAGCACCACCGCGGCCGCGTCTGTCGCGCCAAACGAGCTGGCCGCTGCGCGCGTGTGCTTGGGTTGGCGCGGCTTCAGAGATGCACCAGCCAAAGCCAAGCAATCATCGCAATTGCCGCCACATGGGTTTTGCAAACCAAGTTGCGGGTGGGTGGGTGGGATGTTTGCAAGAGCGTCGGGTGTGTCAACTCGTTTGTAATACTCAATTGTACCGCGTAGATTTTATGACATAGCTTGCACACACGTTTCACCACGCCGACTGCACCATGCATGTGTGTATTTGTAGTTGTATACATGTTTATTTGTATATGTTTATTTTGTATATAGATGTATTATACATACATCTAGATATGTACAACATCTTTTGCACGACATACGTTGCGCCACGTAGGTAGGGTACACCACAACGATTGGTCCGCAAACGTTGCACAACATTGATATCACAGCATGCATGACACCACATCGACTGTATTACGTCGATTGCACCGCATACGTTGCACGGCATGTGCTGATAGTAACACATTGTTTTGGGTCCACGCTGGGTACTTTCGATTTGGGTATTCGAGTGACTTACCCCATCCCGCCGACCCCCACAACAGGACAAACGTCCACGGGTGAACGGTTTTGGCGTTCGCGGAAGACCTGGCCCCCAAGAGGGTTCCACAGCGAATGGTCCGCGTGGGCCGTCTTGGGGTTCTCTTTGGGAGTCTTACGGTCTCTATGGAGCGATCCTCGCGGCGTCTTGAGAGAGGTGTCGGGCGAAGTGTGGGCGAACAAGGCGAATAGTCTGACATTGATTATCCTACAGGATCACGACTGTTTTGGCTCATCGGGCCTTCTCGGGGGTCCCATGGATCGTTTGAGGCGTATTCGACGCGCCCAGGGCCACTTCCAGGTTCTCGGCATGTTGGAGCCGATTTTGAATCATTTTTATTTGCGTACTGGACAGTGGAGGGACAGTATTGAAGGCGAGGTCGAGGTTGGTGTCTCCGAGTGTGTACGACGCTCGGGCGAAAGCCACATTTTGTAAATGGCCCGTCCGCCATCTGTGAAATTTAGGCAAACTTTTAAGACGAACGTGCGCGGCGTTCTGGCGAGAGCCACGTATTGAAAATGGGCCCGCCCTCCATCAGTGAAACGGTTGCAAACTTGAAGGCGAATATGCGCGGCGCTCAGGCAAGAACCACAGTTTGAAAACGACCCGCCGTCATCTTTGGAACTGTTGCAAATCCCAAGCTTCATAATCATACATGGCGAGGAAGTCTTAGGCGAAACGCCCAGCCCGCCCTACCGCCACGTCCGGGGCGCGACAGGGAGGACCTATCAAGGCGGAGAAGGAGGAAGAAGACGAGGGGAATAACGTTTCAATGTGATGATGTGAGGAGTAGGAGGAGGAAGAGGAGAAGGAGGAGGGGGGGGAGGAGGAGGGGGAGGGAGAGGAGCAGGGGGATGGGGGGGGAATGGGGGAGCGTGCCCCTCCCTGGAGGCCAAGGAGCAGCGCGAGGCCCTGCGCCGCCGTTCCGCGGGCATGGGCGAGCAGGAACGCGCCGTGGCTGCGGCGGCCTTCGCGTCCTG